AAAAACTAAGAGAGAAGCTCAAACTTAGAAAGGAAAACCACAATGGAGGAGCAGAGGAGCCAGAAACATCCAACAAAACAAAAAGTAGAGCAAAACCATCCACAAGAAGCATTGAAATAGGATGGGTTCACGCTGATGACAAAGTAACAAAACAGGTCAGAGCAAAAGGTCAGAGCAAAAGAAGGGGACAAGAAAGGTCTCAATTAACATTCAGGCAGGTTTTGATGAGATACTAAAACAAGGAAAGGCACTATTCTTCCCTGATGGAGAATCTAGCAAAGGTCACGAATCTGATTTTGAATTTGATGTTTGGGACTTCAAGCAAAATTGTCTTCCCAAGGATGTCTCCATCGAAGTGATATACAACACTGTTAAACTCCTACTTCTGTACTTCTACATAGCAACTCAACCAAAACCAGTGCTGAGTGAAGAGTCTGATGATGACCCTGGCTGTGATGGTTATGTCTCTGAGCCTGATTTAGTGCAAGATGATGAACGATCAACAAATGAGTTCACAATGGACAGACATTATCACCAAGATTCGACAGGTGAGCCTCATGACTCCCACCCAGAGGTGTTTATTGTTTCTGAAGAAATCCTCACAGAATCTTCAGTAACCAGAGAAAACCCTGCAAGCTCAAGTCAAGAAGCAAGAACACTTGTCAATGTCATCAGTGATCGCGTGGCTTTCTCTGTGGATGCGATATATGCAGATACCTCTGACCCTGAGATCATTTTTTGGTGCACAGCAAACAGTAATTGATGTCTCCCTCAGTGACACACTGATTTATCAATCTGATGAGTTCCCTCAAAACCCTCTTAATATTTTGCCTGAAATAACTTTGGTCTTGCACCACTCAAACAACTTCAGTAGAAAAGGGTAGTGGGTCTGGTGTAGTCAGAGGTGTCTACAGTGGCTTCTGGGCAGAGTTTTATGAACGTTGTACCCTTGGAACAACTTTGAAAGTGCCCTTTCTCAGGCATGATTTCTGTGCTGCTACATGGAAAGCAAATGGGAGAATTCTTCTGAAAGGATTTCAAGATTGCCAGTACTTGCAAATCAAGCTTGCCCCACCTTTTCTTGAGCAAATGCTTTTTGGGGCAGTGCACAGTGACCTGAAGACGAGCTTTCTCCAGTTTGCAAGCTCCCAAGAACAAGATGTCCTCAGCCATGCTTTAGATGATTTTACTTCTGTTGATGTTAATGACCTTCTAGAAGTGCTTGACAGCTATGAATGTAGGGAGAGGGTCAATGCTGCTACACTTCCAGAAATCTTGGAAGAAATATCTCACAAAAACGAATGTTTGTCATTGACTGCTGGAGGGAAATCACACAGCCACAGATGCAGCTCAACTCTGGGGAACTGACCAAAATGTACAGTGACTTCAGACCAACACCAAAGAAAGTTGTAGGGATATTAAACTTTCCTACAGGGATGACATCCAAGGAAGCAGAGGTGGCACAGCACCTGAAAAGATACATCAGGGAACCTAATGAAGAAAAGCTTGGGAGATTTTTGAGGTTCTGCACTGGCTCTGATTTGTTGGTATCTGGTGTTATTAAGGTGGAGTTTACAGTTCAGACCAATTTCCCAAGACCATTTGGACGTACATGTGGGATGCTCTTACAACTGTCTGACAGCTATGATCATTTCCCTGACTTCCACAGTGAGTTTAAGTCCATTCTAGAGAGCAATGTCTGTGTAATGGACATTGTGTAGTCAGGAATTATGATGTCAAGTGTTGCAGTCTGAATGCTTTCACTTTTAAATAGGGTGAAACAATTCTCATACCATCATACACACTGCAAACAAATGCTTTCATTGAACCCAATACTATACGCTTTATATAAACACACACATTCAACCACACACGTTTGTTAAATACACTCACTGTTCACTATCTCATTACAGAGAAATTGAGTGAATGTTCAGTTATGATCAACTTCTTACGTTGCTAATGGTTGAAGCAGGTAAATTTCATTCATGGTCAATGATTAGAAAAACATTTCACAGACAATGAGTTTTCTTCAGGTCATATGCAAATTCCTTGTGTATGGAAGTTTTATGATAAATGTCCATTTTTTGTACACTTAAAAAGTTTGTAATAAATATTTCTGATATCATTGTTTTATAGTTGACTCATTTCTTAACGATAAAATTTAAAAGTACTTTAACTGACAATTTCCATTGCATGCTACTTTATACTTCAACTCCACATCAATCCAGAGGGAAATATTGCATAACAACTCACGGGGGTCACTTTTCTGCATTATGAGCACTTTTATGTCTGATACTTTAAGTACATTTTTCTGATAATACATACTTTTACTTAAGTGATATTTTCAAAGCTTTACTTTTACTTGCATTTGAGTATTTTCACAGTTTGTTATTACTACTTTTACAAAAGTAAAGGATGTGAATACTTCTTCCAGCTCTTACTCTGGCAGATCCCCTGAGGCACAAAAATAAGGCCACTGTTAATGTTACAGCAACTCAATATAGATTTAAAACAGCATAAATACAATGGTTAAGCAACAGTTACAGCAACAGTTTTAATAATCAAGATTCCTTGTTCTTACGTTGAGCTTTAGGGAACTCAGAAAAAGACTGATACAGTCGGACTGTTCTACCTATACAATAAATGCTTAGCCCTGCACTTCATATCAAACTGCAATTAAATCCAAGTTGCATTGTTTTCATTTCTCCATCCTTTTACCAAATGAAAAATTGGGAATATTTCATGCTTTATCTTTACACATTCCCATGAAACTAAGATGTCATAGTTGGAATAATACAGATTTAAGATTTTGGCTAGAATGTAAAATAAAGTATATGTGTTCAAACAGTGTGCAATGTGTGCACCATATTTTTAAAGACAGACCTGCCAAAGGCTCTGTAGGCTATCATATTATGGAAGCCTCTTAATGACCTGGACTGTCTTTTCCTGGTAATACAAAAACAGTGTGCACATTGTGAAGGCCAATTTAAACATTTTCAAGTATCTCATTTCTTAATAGTGAATACAGTTCCGCTGCAGTATATGTATCCAGAGGAGCATTCCAACCATTTTCATCCATAAGGAGAATGCAGAGCTCAAAAACAGTTTCATCACAGGGGTACTGCCCTTTTGGGGTGCACTCCTCCTTGCAAACAGCAACCTCTTCTGGCAGAACAGGCTGGAGTTTGTCCTCTGCTGCTCCATACAGTTGTTGCATGCAGAACATGAGAATGGGGTGTCCTCCGTGCATCCCATGGGCAGGCCTAGGTCTTATTCGGTGTGTATTCCATGTTCTTACAACCTCATCAAGTTCATCCTGCATGACAATAAATATTCACTTAAAGTGGTTGCAGTCAGGAACACTAATAAAAATGGATAGTGTATCTTAACAATCCCTAGACTGATATGAAATGGAAAAACCAGGGTACTAATGTCACACTGGGTTTTTGGACTTTGTCTGACATCAGCAAAATGTTTGAAGACACTGCTACTAGTTGGTGGTATGGGATTATTTCCACCTGTTGAAAGTAAATTCTGGGTGTACACCTAGACAGTGTGATGGGCCTGTGACTGTGATAGGCAGAGATTATCTGACATGCACTGCTTTGTAATATGTATGTTCAGCAAGTTTAGCCTTCAGATTCTCTAACTCCATGAATGTTTGTCATTATTAACGCCATTGTTTCATATACAGTATTCCATAAATAATCAAGTATACATTTTATTTAGCAATTACCAGGATAAGGTTGAGGAAGCAGAACTGTATCAGTTTTTTTTTTTCCAAGACGGTACCTGTGAAATGTCCATCATCTCTGAGGGTTTGAAAAATGTCCATCCAAAATTGAACACTCTGTTTACATAGGACCCCCGACCATGACTCTATCCTTTGATTTACTACATCCGTAAATGAAGTTTCCTTCTTCCGCATAATGGTCCGCATGATTCATACGCAGGAACAGCTGCATTTCTCTGCCATGTCCGTTTTCTGTACCTGGGTCGGCCCGCTGTGGACAGCCTCCAATGCGCGTCACTGTGTTTATGAAAGTCTGCGATTACCTTGGGGTCACTGTTAGTGTAATATGCTTCCATCCTCATTATGTGACGGCTAAATCCGTCAGTGCATCCATTAATTGCAATGCCATATGGCTTCAGTTTATCATATGAATCCATATGCCATAATGCGTTGGGGCCTCTGCTGTTGTACTGTCGACGTCGGAGACGCCGTGAGTTCCACTCCCTCTGGATCCAAAATCTTGATTATCATTCTCATAGTTTTCTGAGAAACTACAAAACCTCTTTGAATAGCACGCAGATGTAAACACCGGTAGCCTTGCAGTCGACCACTTCCAGCCATTTTCTCTTCCACAAAAGTGGCAATTTCTTCCAAGTCTGTGCGATTCTTTCTTCGGAATAGACATAGTCGTTTGCACAATCGTTTCAAAGTCCTGATGCTGATAATAATTTGGTGCTTATGTGCAAAAAATATTTCCTTATTTGTGAAACCGATACTAAAGTATAAATTGACAAGATGCTCCACATTCCTCATTTTAACGCAGGCGGCAGAATGCTCCTCTCTTTTTATGACTTTATTCTCATAAAATTACGACTTTATTCTCGTAATATTACGACTTTATTCTCATAAAATTACGACTTTTTTCTCGTAATATTACCACTTTATTCTCGTAATTAAAAAAAAATAATAATACAAATTTGAATCTGTGTGGCCTTAGTACTCCGTCGTATATTTCTCATCAAACATCATGTGAGTAAAGATTTTAATGAAGTATTAGACAGTGACGTCACTCAAACAGCACACATATGTTAAAATAATTCATCAATGAACTCCTGATATAGTGGAAATCTGTCCTGAATGTACATCTGCCTTTTGCAGTGTGGCGCTTGCCTTCTGGGAAATGTAGTTCCATATCCGCCCCCAATGTTCTTTCAACATTTCAGTGACGTTTATGCAACGTGATATGCGCTGGAAATATCTGTTTAACAACAACTTCCGCTCCTTCTCTGCTGCGGAATGAGAAGAGAAACGTTTTTCGAAGGTTTGGTAAGGTTTCCGGGAACGTTTCCTCGGTTCACAGCGCGGAGAAACTTCAATGGAGCATGATCATGGAGACAGTTTGGACTGGTCGATGGAACGACGAGTGGAAGGTTTGGTGAACAAACATATGGCGGACATCGCTGTGGAGAGCCTCCAGCAAAGGCTGACCGCTGTGTCCGATGAGATGCACAGTCTGGTCGAACACGTCTCCAGACGCTCAGGTGAGGAGTTCAAAGACGAGTCGCGGAGAGGGGACGTTAGCCTAGGCGTGGAGCCGCAACTCTTCTCAGCCTGCAGCTCAGGATCCGCTGACAAGTTGATCTCCGCCCCAGCCACAGGTAGACCCCGTCCACCACGAACCAGTTCTGACACTGGACAGCTACTGGTCCTGATGGTCTGTCGGGAACAGTCATAACACAGTTAACTACGCGCCTTTAGGAAAGTTAACTTAATGCAATATTACAAATACTTAATTTCAAAACACTATTTCGTCTCTAAATCCATTGTTTGTCAGTGTCCGTTTATGACTGGAATGCCATCAAAACCAATATTGAATAAATAAATTAGGTAATGAATGTAGAAATATATAAATACATAAATGAGTAAATGCATAGATAATAAATAGGTTTTTATTTAGTTCAGGGGACTTTTATTTTCTATGTCCACATTTATTTATTGCTGGAGACTTTTATTTTCTAATCCCATATTAAAATAAAAAGAGCTGGGAAACAATGTGGCATTTGGAAGTAAATGCCTCTGGAAATAAATAGCCATAACATTATGACTACTGCAGGTGAAGTGAGTGACAATGATTATCTCGTTACAATGGCACAGTGGGTGGGAGGTGTTAGGCAGCAAGTGAACATTTAGTCCTGGAAGCAGATGTATTGGACGCGGCAAAATGGGCGGCATATGGATCTGAGCGACTTTGACAGGGCATCTCCAAAACTGCCGGTGGTTAGTACCTACCAAAAGTAGTCTAAGGAAGGACAACTGGTGAACCGGCGACAGGGTCATGGGCGCCCAAGGCTCATTGAAGTGCATGAGGAGAGAAGGATAGCCCGTGTTGTCCGATCCCACAGAAGAGCTACTGTAGCACACACTGCTGAAAAAGCTCCATGCTGGTTCTGATAGAAAGGTGTTAAAACACACAGTGCATCGCAGCTTGCTGTGCATGGGGCTGCATGGCCGCAGACCAGTCAGAGTGCCCATGCTGACCCCTATCCAATTGAGCATCTGTGGGATGTGCTGGACAAACAAGTCCGATCCATGGAGGCCCCACCTCGCAACTTACAGGAGTTAAAGGATCTGCTGCTAAAGTCTTGGTGCCAGATAGCTTCAGAGGTCTAGTGGAGTCCATGCCTTGACGGGTCAGAGCTGTTTTGGCGGCAAAAGGGGGACCGACACAATATTAGGCAGGTAGTCATAATGTTATGGCTGATCGATGTGTAGATTCAAGGGTAAAACATGTTATTTAAATCACTCTCCCTCTTTTTGGGCTGTGTCTGGCCTCCAGTGCTAGCCATTGGCACTTCTAATGGATTTGATCATTTTATAGCCATAATGACTTCATGATATTTTAGTTACATTAAACTTCATTCAGTTCTACACAACTTGTGCTCTGTGTCATGTCATCAACTCTCCATTCTCCAGGCGACGCATCTATCATACAAATATCTTGACATCAAAAATATTCTTCAGTAGGTTATCCATGGCACTAGCCCGTTTGTTTGCCTAACTTGAACCATGAGCTTCACAATGACTTCATTCTGTCACAATAACTTTCGCTCCATCTCTTTCTCTCAAGAAACTGCAGCTCAGCGGAAGATCATCGCCCTGCTGGTAGAGATCAAAGACGAGCAGCAGAGGCAGTGGGCAGTGCTCAGGGATCTTCAGGCCCGACTGCAGGGTCAGACTGGATATGAGGAGGAGGATGTGGAGGCTCTGGATATGGATCTCCCCTTGAGGACCCTAGAGCAGCTGGATGAGATGGAGAGACGGCTGGAGGAGCCGGGAATACAGAAAAAAATGGTAGAATGAATGGTGCCATTCAGTAGCTTGAGTTGCTTGCTGTGCAAACGCTCAGTGCTTGATGAATCTGATATTGATCTCTTGTCTAAATTCAAGGTGTCTTTCCTGTCCCGGATGGGCGGGGCTACAATCGATGATGCAGTGAGACGTCTCATGCAAGCTGTGCTTTCATTCGCTGTGGGTTCTGAGCTAAACTGGGTGGGCCGTGGACAGAAGAGGAGCTTCAGGAACACTCGCCTCCAAGGGGTCCTCTTCCGTCAGTAGGATATGCTATGTGAAGCTAACAGTTGTTAGATAGGATAAACTTTATTGATTTCACAGAGGGAGAATGAAGTGCAACATCAGCAAAAGGAGGCATAAGAACTAATGGATCATATATATATATATATATATATATATATGTATATATATATATATATGTATATATATGTATATGTATATATATGTATATGTATATATGTATATATATGTATATATGTGTATATATGTGTATATATATATGTGTGTGTGTGTGTGTGTGTGTATATATATATATATATATATATACAGTATGTCAAATACATGATCTCAGATATGAACTGACAAAACTGTCATACACTGTTGACAGATATTTAACAAACACCCAGCTTTGTCAAATGAAGCTGAGTGAAAGTTCAGTCAGGGGGACTGTGGACTTGGTAACTTAGATGTCATCAGCCAAAGAGATGTAGTGTTGATGGTGACCAGAGTATATTTGTAAACATTTGAAAAACTAAACATAGAAGACATTATACGGATAGAAGGTGACTATAAGTGACAAATCTACATCTATCGTCAACATATATATATCTATGGTAGTGTATGCCTCAGATGTATGACACTGAATGAAAATAGATTTTCTTTCTTTTCCATTGAGTGAACTGAATGTAAGTTTTTATAGTAAAATTAAATTCTCCTGGGTTGACATAAACCTGATTATACAGATGCAATTTGGAGAATGCACTACTTTTGTAAACAACACCTGATCTATTGTTATTTTTTTATATTTGTTTATTTCTCTGCTTTATTATAACTGCGGGATGTTACATATGCGTTTTCACCAGCACAGGCCCGGTCTTTCATCAACCAATCGCTGTGGTTCCTCCAAGTAAGCTCGTCCATGAAAATTGACGTCAGCCATCGCGACGGAGTCGCACTCTTAGCTTAGGAGTTTTTCTTTTCCTTAGTAAAAGTTGGTCTCCATGAGCTGTGTGTCACAGCTGCTGCTGCTGTCTGTGTTGGTGAGCAGTCACATCAGCAGCTAAACTACAATAACAAAATGTTGTTGCTGTTTTCAGAACACGCTCTTGAACCTTTCACCTCAGGCTTCACCTCACATTATCATATTGTTTGAGTTTGTGTGGTCTGGACTGCAGTTAATTGAAATGAAAATGCTGTGCAAATGATCACGTCCAGCCTCTCTTTTACCTCTCAGGGGCTCTGAAGCGGACACCGGTGGGTAAGGAGGCCACTCATCACCAGTACGCTGACGTGGTGAAGAAGTGGCTGCGGTTTGCCCCTTTCAGACAAGGAGGGAGCGGCCGTCGCTGCTGCAAACCTCCTGTGGAGTCTCCGGATTCTGAGGAAGTTGACAGTTTCAACCAGAGCTGCACACACTGACGTTTACCTCCCTCTTGAAAGCAGGGGTTTCCACCCCAGTACAAACTGTTCACATGTGAAGAAATCCACACTGCACATGAAATCTGCTGTTATGATAGAAATATTAGAGATACTTGCATACTGCACACTCTGTTATTTTCCTTCCTCCACAGTGTTAATAGAGCAGATATGTATTTTAAATGAGCTGAGATGATAGTTTCATACACTTCAGTGAGCTGTGTCAGGGAAAGTAAACCTGACAACAGTGTGCCTTCACAAACTTCACTTCATAAAGTGAAACAAAAAATCATACCATCAACACACGAGTCATGGATCTTAATGGAGAGTAACCTGAGGCAGGTGTTTGAAAGGATCATATTCCAGCTGGATGTCACCTGGTGGGGGACAGGGGAAATCTTCTCACACCTCAACCCACAGCCGGGACCAAAACTATATTACAACAGGTACAGGTACAACAGGTGGCATTTTTTCCATTGAGTGAATTGAATGTAAGTTTTTATAGTAAAATTAAATTCTCCCAGGTCAACACAAACCTTATCATACAGATGCATTTTGGAATGCACAACTTTAGTAAACAGCACCTGATCTGTTATTATTTAATTTTTATTTGTTTATTTCTCCTTGTTTTTTTTATTATTACTGCGCATGCGTTTTCTGCAGCACAGGCCAGTCTTTCATCAACCAATCACTGCGGTTCCTCCAAGCAAGCTCATCCATGAAAATTAAGGTCAGCCATCGCAACAGAGTCGCACTTTTAGTTCAAGAGTTTTTGCTTTTCCTTAGTAAAAGTTGTTCTCAGCAGCTTTGTGAAGAGGACTTAGGAGAAAACTTTCTGTGACTTAAGAGAAGTCTTAGTGGTAAGATAAAATGGTCTTTGCTCGTTCACTCAGTGCACATCAGTCTCGGTTGTTTATAATGGACAGTGCAGTATAGTCTATATGATTTTCTGTGTATATGTTGGTTTTGTTTCACATTTTTTACATCAACACTGTTTCTGTTTACATCTTATTGGCTAGAGCAGCTTTGTAACTACTGAGGGAGAGAATCTGCACAGTGGGTGTTCACAGTTTGTCCTGTAGGGGTGATATTATCACAGCATTTGCCTTAACGTTTGATGGCCCTCTGGCTCATTGAGTCACATCAGTCAGATCAGTAACATCAAACTGTATATGCAGTTTTTCACTAAGATGAATGTTTCCTGGGAGACGTGTCTCCATGACAACAAACGCAAACATGCCCAAATTAAACACTGGTGAGATTTTTATGCTCAATGGATTATTCTATATTTTGTTTCTACATTGATTAAATTATTTCTGTTGCATAGCAGTTAATTTTTAATGAGTACAAGTCAATGTAAATATGGACACGTCATTACATTCTCTGTGTCATGTTCATCATGTTGTCAGAAGTTTCCTACAAATCTTACCTTTGCTGTTATAATATCATTAGTAACTTTCTAACTAAAGAAAATTTATAATTTGTGTATTATATGTATTATTCACAGTGGAGATGTATAACTGCAGTTTGTTTTTTGATGTAATGTTTTAAGAACACATGAAATAACCAGTTTGTAATCTGGTTATACAGATTATACAGAGAATTCAGGAAGTATTCAGACCCCTTCACTTTATTCACGTCGTAATTTTCTATTCAGACACTTAGCTGAAGGGTATGTGTATGTATATGTGTACATGTATACAGAAGTGTGACTAATTAAAGGAAACCCCTGTGTAAGTGTCTTTCCACTGTCACTTACTGCAGGTGCGTGCCGGTGCAATTAATTGACGCGCACTGGGCTTGGCTCCCAATAAACATTGTCCAAACAATTCCCGTTGCTTTGCTCTATTTATTGCTTCCACACATAAGCACAATAAAGTATAGCACATCAGTTTGGCAATCAGGTAGCCTATTATTTGATACTGCTCCTATCTCCAGACCTCAGCCGTGCCTCAGCCATGGTAAAAAAAAACTGTTTGCCTCAGTTCACACACACCTGGCCTCATTAGCCTGGATGTATAAATGAACTTCCCACAGGAAGTTGCCACAGCGCCACCCCCAGTACCAACAATGTTTACAACAACAAAAAATAAACACACACATAAACAAATGGCTGTTACACTCCGGCCCCTAATTGTTGATGGCAGAGAGACACAACAATTCAAATCAGTACAGACAAAAAGCCATTAAGCACACAATGTTACCAAAAGCAAGATAACTGATATTTGTACACACAAACACACTGCATCAGACCTCTGAGGCTGCCTTCAATAGGCAAAGTTTGATGCAAAACAGAGCTGACCACCTTTCTAATCATGCGGATGACACGCTCCCAAGCGCCACCATAGTGTGAGGCTGCCGGTGGGTTAAAACTCCACTTAACTCCATGTTGCAGCAATGCTCCCTGCACTTTCCTGTGATTTAATCCTGCAACGGCCTCTCTCTGCGCCAACAAAATTGGTGCTATTGTCAGACCGCATATGAGAAACTTGGCCTCTTCTGCTCATAAATCGTCGCAAAGCATTAATACATGAATCGGTGTCCAAGGAGTTTGCCACCTCCAGATGAACAGCTCTGCTCGACAAACAGGTGAGAATTACTCCATAGCGTTTACACAGACTTCTCCCTCTCTTCACCTCGATTGGCCCGAAATGGTCGATGACAACGTTCGTGAATGGAGGGAGATCAGGCAAGATCCTCTCCATTGGCAGGTCTGCCATTTTTTGTTCACCTGTCTTTGCGTCTACAAGTACAGCATTCAGATATGATTTTCCTTATTGCAGAGTTAGCACTTGTAATCCAATACTTCCTCCTCAGCTTGGATAATGTGACATTTCTTCCACCATGACCCAGCTGTTGGTGAGTATGCCTAAAGATGAGAGTTGCAATATGCTGATCTTTTGACAAGATGAGTGGATGCTTGGTTTCCTCTGGCAAAGCTGCCCTACTCAGTCTTCCTCTAACTCTAAGCAGACCATCCTCCAGGCGTGGATCCAGTTTGTAAATGGGACTTTCCTTACTGACTGCAGACTTTCCTGATGAAAGTGTATCGATTTCCTCCTTGAACCGCTGCTGCTGAGAGAAACGAATGATGGACATTTCTGCCTCCAACAGGTCATCTGATGTAACGCTTTGACCCCCGAATGCACTTCTGACCTTCTTCATCTCCAACTGTATATCAATGGAAGGATTGTTTTCAACTGGAGCCTGCAACTCCTTTCTTTTCTGGCTTAGTTTCAACAAAAATCTCTTTACCTTGAGGAACCAAGCAGCTGCAACTTTAAGCCTCATCCAGTCCGAGAAATAGGTGATAAGTTGGTCAGTGGCATTAGGTGAGTCCTTGATGATTACTGTGTTCACAGTGAAGTCTCTCTTGACCTCCGGATCATCTGCTGGAATAGTATTTTCCACAACACTTTCTGGCCAACACCTTTCTGGGTTCCAAAGGAAGTTGGGCACTTCGATCCATCTGCTGTCAATCAGCAGGTCCTCCACCTTCATGCCTCTGGACGCTTCATCCGCCGGATTGTCTTTAGTATTCACATACCTCCATTGTGACACATTTGTAGCTTCTCTGATAGTTGAAACCCGGTTTGCCACAAAGGTATGAAAACGCCTGTCCTCATTCCTTATATACTTCAGCACAGATGTGCTGTCTGTCCAGAAGTTTGAGTCCTCCACTTGTAGCTGCAGCTCTGCTCTTAACATCCTGTCCACACGAACAGCAAGAACCACTGCTGTAAGCTCCAGGCGTGGGATGGTGACCTGTTTTAGTGGTGTAACTCTTGCTTTTGCCAAGCAGGAAGGAGACGTGAACATCATGCCTGTCATTCTCCACCCGTATGTAACTAACAGTGCCATATCCACCTTCACTTGCGTCGGAAAAGTGATGCAGCTTGGCCCGTGTAGGTTGCCCAAAGTCCTTTGGCTTAATGCACCTCCTGACCTTGAACTCTGACATCCTGTTAAGTTCTTCCAGCCCCTCTCTAAGGGAAGATTATCCCTATCCAGATCCAGTTCATTTAAGTCCTTGGCTCTGTGTTCCTCTGCAACTGTCCGGAGCACTGTATGGCTGTTACTGACCCACTTTGTCAGACAGAAGCCTCCTTTTTGACAGACAGCTGTTAGATCCTCAATCATTTTAATAGCATCCTCTTCTGACGATGTGCTCTTCAAACAATCGTCCACATAAAAGTTTCGCTTTACTGTCTGAATCACATCAGCTGGAAAGTGCCTAAGTGCGTAGCAAGCACAGCTAGGAGACGAGACAGCACCAAACAAGTACACGGTCATCCTGTACTCTGCCATTTCTTGATTCAGGTCACCCTCAGGCCACCAAAGGAAACAAAGGAAGTCTTTGTCTGTCTCTGCTACCCTTACTTGATAGAACATCTGCTGTATGTCTCCCATCAAAGCAACAGGCTCCTGCCTGAACCTTGTGAGCACTCCAAGCAAGCTACTAGTAAGGTTGGGACCCTGCAAGAGTTGGCTGTTCAGTGATGTTCCCTTGAAAGTTGCACCACAGTCAAATACCACACGTAAAGTATTCTTTCTCGGATGGTAAACTCCGTGGTGTGGGATATACCAGACCTTTCTTTCTTCGCAGTCCACCTGATGCTGAGGTATCTTTTCTGCATAGCCTTTGCTGATGACGTCATTAAAGAAGCTTGCATATTCTTTATGGAACTGCTTATTTTTCTCAAATCTCCTCCTAAGACCAAGTATCCTCTGCTTGGCCATAGAGAGATTGTTAGGGAGATTGGGATGCTCTTTCCTAAAAGGTGATGCAGTTTCAGTCCCGCTGCCGCCACCCTCTCCAGCACCCGCCTGAGGGCCTTGAGAGCCGACTCAAAGGACCCAGCATGAACAAGAATGTCGTCCAGGTACACAACACATTCTTGGCGTGGGACGCCAGCCAGTACCCTGTCCATCAGTCTCTCAAATGTGGTGGGCGCATTACAAAGGCCAAAAGGGAGGACCTTGAACTGCCACAAGCCCCTGCGGGTGATGAAGGTGGTTTTGGGTCTGGCCTACGGGGCAAGGGGAACCTGCCAGTATCCGCTGCGCAGGTCCAGAGAAGAGAACCAGGAAGACCCTGCCACTGTGTCTAGGGCCTCATCGATGCGCGGGAGGGGGTATGGGTCCTTTTTAGTGACTTTGTTGAGGGGTCTGAAGTCCACACAAAACCGCCAGTCGTCTTTTGTCTTTTTGGGGACCATGACGACTGGGGAGGCCCAGGAGCTGGTGGAAGGCTCAATGAGTCCAGCCCGTTGCATCTCTCCTAGAGCTTTGTCTGCCGCTGCCTGTCTGGCCAGTGGGAGGCGTCGAGGTCTGATCCAGATGGGTGTTGCGTTCCCAGTTTCAATTTTGTGTTGGATGAGATCTTTAGCCAACGTCATCTTCTGACAGTGAAAAACAGTCCTTGAACTCCAGTAGGAGCTGCCACAGCAGACCCTGTTCACTGGAAGTCAGTCCATCGCAGTTTCTCTGCCAGACCTCCCTCACGGCCCCAACTCTCTTTCCCGGGTCAGGCAGTGTGGCGAACACGGGGTGGGGGTGTAGGTCCTTGGTGGGCAGTGTGGAGGGTGGAGCAGGTAGTTCGTTGGAGGAGGAACAGCAGGTAGCTGGAAGAGGTGGATGTGGCTGTGGACCAGCAGCAGGCGGGGTGGAGGGCAGTGCAGGTGGTTCATTGGGGGGGGTGCAATTGGGCAGCCATGTCGGTTGTTGTCTCAGCTGTTGGCACTGCAATGGTGTGGGCCACAGTGCAGCCCGGCTGGGACGGCCGCTTAGACATCTGGACGACGTGTCTCCCTGGGAAAGTGAGTGTTCCTCTCCTGGTGTTAATGACACAGTCCAATGCGCCAAGAACATCCAGTCCCAGTATACAGTCCTCCAGGTTCGCGACCCACACCGGGCAGCGAATTGTCTTTTTCCCTGCCCCCAGGGTCACCAATGCCTCTCCCACCATGGGGGCCCGCTCTCCAGTAACTGTCTGAAGTCTCACTATGGTGGGGAAAACCGTCGTCCCTCTGTTCACCACATTGGGTTTCACCAGGGTTGCTGAAGAGCCTGTGTCCACCAGTGCAAAGCAGCGTGTCCTCCCAATAGTCACTGGGGCGTTCCAGCAGTTCCCTATCCAGGTTTGGCCTAGTATCACAAATCGCTCGAGCTGGCCATCTACATCCTCTGCCTGTTGCGCCGCCCCCACCTGCATGTGCTGTGCTGCATCCCCGCCTGTGCAGGGTCGGGACGCCACTCAAGGGATCCGCATCATCTCAATTATGCGGCCCCTGTCCCTTTTCCCTGTCTCGCGGGGGCATTGGGGGCCAGATGGCCAGGCTGTCCACATCCCCAGCAGATCCTTGAGCACGATCTGGCCTGCCGCTCCTCCCAAAGTGAGGCAGCGCGCACAAGCTGCGTGAGTTCCTCTGCCCAGGCAGGTGCTGCTGCATCCCACTTGCAGCCCTCATTTTCGGTGAATTGTCCAACGCGGGCCCCAGGACACCAGCACACAGCATCTCTCTCTCTGACGCTAACTCCAAAGCCTCCAGGAGAGACTTGGGATGAGCCAGCAGCGTCTGGATACGCAGGTCGGCCGGTAGCAGCGCCTAGAGGAAATGGTCCCATGCTAATTCACTCTGGATAGCAGGGGGCATGTGAGCATAAGTGCGGTGAACCAGCCCCTCAATGTCATTGGCGAGATCCCTCAGGGGCTCACCCGGTCGTGGCTGTCGGCTGCACAACTCAGACCTAAGCAGGCTAGCCGCTGAGCATTGTCCAAACCGCCTCTTTAGCGCCCCCACTAAAGCATCATAGTCACTCCTATCACTTGGGCTTGGTAGCAGCAGGCTTGACAGAGCATCACCAGTAAGGCACATTGCTAGCTGGAGGGCTTTCACTTCAATGGACCACTTGCTGGCCTTGGCTAACAGTTCAAACTGGGCGTGAAATGCCTCCCAGTCAGCCTTGCCATCATACCTGGGAGTCTTTACTGAGGGCGGTCCCAGTTCACAGTGCGGCTTGATAACTGTAATCCTGGTGGCCGCTGTTTCCTCACAGTTGTCCGAGCGGCTAGAGCAGCCAAAGCCGGCCTCGACAGCCATTTTGACAGTCATCTCTCTCACCCGCTCTCTGTGCTCCGCCGCTCCCCCAGCCTCAGCAGCGCCGTAATTATCACATTCGTCAGCTCCCTCCTCCAGCTTGATTTTTGACCAACCTCCCGGCAGTATATTTCGCACTGCAGAGCAGACACAGTGGTCCTCTGTTAGCTCGTTGTGGACGAGATGGCAGAAACCTCGTAGGCAATGCTTTTACTTCTAACACCAATGTAAGGTCCCTCGTTAAACAGACGGTGAGACGTTAGCCAGTTGTCACTGCAACTTTATTGAGCACAATAACACAGGCTACTGTAGGCCGTAGCCAACGCCAACATAACACAAGAGCTGCTGTAACTTTTTCCCACTAGCCTCTCGTACATACCCTAACACACCAAGCGCCAAAAACAGGGACCAGAGAGAGGGACAACCCCCCCCCCGTAACTCAACAGACTTATGACTGAACTAAACTATCGTTTCTTACAGAAACAATCATAACAGTTAAACATTACCATGAACACAGTCCGTTACAATACCTTCATTCACCTGTAATGATGTTATTTACTTTATGGACACTTCAGATATTGTTAACCTTGTTATTATTTTGGGTAAATATTATATCCATTCTTGCAAGTGGAATGGCACTACTCCCTCTTATAATGTTTTTATTCATAATTTTGCCAAGTTTTTCAAATCCATGAAGTTCATGGACAAAATGAATAGAAAGGCCACAAAAATGTTTAAGTCTATTTCTCGATCATGCTATTTTAATATTTGTTTATTTGCTCTCTTGTGCTTTGCGTCTCCTTAACTTATTTTTTATTTACTTCCCGATATTTATTTTGTTCTAATTTATCTTTCTCCAAATTTGTATGTTTATTTTTGATTGTACTATAGCCTAATACCATTTCCAGAGTAACGTCAGCTACTTTTGTGTTGTTGTTGCTATGAACTGGGATCCAGGACCTATAACAGTTTCCTGGTCTGGACATGTGACCTGAAAGTTAATTCAGAGTTTGTTTTGTTCCTTTGCTGCAGCAGCATCAAGTGTAGGTTAGAAGAAAAATTCCGGAAATAGCAGGATTCCCCCTTTAAGTTAAAAGCCCCCAATATTATCAGTACTAATAATTTCAGTATCATAATAACGTTAATAATACATTTATATTAATAGTAAATACATTGTTATGAAGAGGTCTATGTCTGGTAAACTGTACAGAAACTCAGCTCACCAGGCTGTAACTCATGTATTTATGTAATGTATGTTTTATTTTGAAAAACACAAACGGAAGTGCTTACTTGTTGTGGTTGATTTCACACACAGAGAACAAAGCAGCTCTCAGCTCCTTGTAAGAGTTTATGACCATGGACGGAGCCGGCGCGGGACGGACCCTGTTCTCTGGATTTATTCTCCCTAAAATATAAAAATATTGATTATTGATTTTCAGAACTCAAAAGAAGAGAAGCTAACGTTCACATGGAGCTATAATGATTTGTACATCTGCAGTCTCTGGTCCGAGTAGCGGAGTTTTCTTCTGCCGAACTGGACTAACATACACTCTGTAACAGGTAGGTGTGTTAAAGTTAGCTGTTAGCTTTGTCTTACACTGGTTTTACACTGGTGACACCGTGTCTCTGTCCTCTGTGTCTCACCTCCACTAACTCTACTATGACTCTGTGTCTGTGTGAAGACAAACCCTCAGTGTTTGTGTCGCTGTTTGTTTTACTGGCACTAACAGCTCCACAATGAGACGAATCCTGCGGGACGTGTTGTACGAGTCAACCTGTTGGCTGACGTCAGTTAACCTGCACACACACAGTCACATACAATCACACACACAGTTAGTGTGTAACAGCCCGCACACATTTCACAGTGCAGACTGTCTGTTGTTGTTGAGACCATAATCACCATAAAAGGACCGTGTTTTCACTCACCCTTTGTTTTATTTGTTGTTAATAATAAGTGTTGGTCCATTAGAAGATATATTATTTGATTATTAAGTTGTGTTATATAAGTTATTTGTGGTTTTAAGAACCAAAAACCATCTCAGTGTAGTTTTACATCTCCTCTCTCAGGCATCTCTCTGGAGCTCTAGTAACAACAGGCAGTGATGTTGATAGGTTTTCAATGTAGCGAGTCCCCAGGACCCACAGGTGGTGATTTGAGTGGGTCCCTGGGAAATTCAATGGGTCCCAAATAAAATTTTTTTATTTCTTACATTCTTCTATTTCTTAAATTGTAGTGTTAAACTCCTTTGATGGTGGTATGATATGGTTATAATTAACGGATATATTCATGTATGTTCAAAATGTATCTGAAATTAAACAAAGATTCCAAATCTGAAAAGTTTATTGCAAAACAACTGTCACAGCGGCATGACATACAAAATTCAAATAAAATAGCCTTTTTTTTAGCAACATAAATAGCACCAAAATAAATTACTAAAATTCAAATGAAAACAAAATGGTGTCTGTAGTACCAAAATAAATTATCAATAAAAGTGCTGATTTTAACACATAAACAAAACATTCTCATCACCATGACAGAGTCAACAAATAAATTGTCACCAAAATAAGACCAAAATCTTCTTGTCTGAACATCAACTAAATCAAATGAACTGAGTCAATCACTGTGAAACTTTTAGCACACAAATGAAACTTAACACAGTGGAAAGTCTGTTAAAGTATTTTTCATCACCGCCACCGGAGTATGTTTTATTTATTTCATTACAGCACATCCCCTAGACATTAAGACATTGTTGACATGAGTGAAAACAGCAACGAGCAGTGGAAACATGAGTTTATTTACTACTATGAAGTTCGTATCTTTAATTGTTGAAATGAAATCCGCGGTGATTGGCTAATTGTTTTGTAGTGGCTAAACTAGCATGTCGCGATACTGTGCACAGGGGAACACGTCTGCGCGGAGTAGATGCGCAGAGGGTTGAAACACCGCCTGCCTGGTCTGCTGACAGCGAAGTTACTTTTGCTAGTTACTGTGATTTTAAACACGTTGTTGTTCACAATGTATCGTTTTTCATGGGAAAAATGAGCTGCGTCCCTGGGACGCATGGATAGTGAGTTTACTGCGTCCTTTCAGATTTTAATGCGTCAGGGACGCAGGACGCGTACCTAGCAACATCACTGAACAGGTCAGTGAGGCTCATAGTTTTCTGAGTGATCTAATATAAATCACAAAGTCAGAAGTCCTGACGGCTTGTTTTAACCAAGCATCAATCTCCAGGGCTGAACAATGAAGGCAACACTGAAGTATCAGAAACTGCAGTTCCTCTAATGACCACTAGAGTCTAGCTCCAAAAGTAAGTCAATCCCCATAGACTCCCATGTTGAAATGTTCAACTTTACAGCAGAAATAAACATGTTTACAGCCTGGTACAAAAACAGCTTTGGTCTTTATAGCTAATTTCCTCATTCATTACAACTGTTTATATATAACTCACCTGTTTACATTTTATAAAGGATTAAAGTTATGCATAATTGTGGCCGTGGCATCTTTGAGTGACAGGTGGGCGAGTGCACGCTTGCCACAAGACAGTATGCACCAAAGTCTCAGCTCCCCCTCCTCTTTGACCATTTTTGGATTAGCTGGGAGTTGGGGGCAGAGTCAGACACTGCCAAGATGGCAACAGTGGAACAGGGCACTCTAAACTTCAAAACGGCTCTTCAGAAACCTGTGGGTGAAGTCACAGAGGTGACGTCCACCTTTATTTACAGTCAATGGTTTTAAGGCTCAGTTTCTGAATACAGGCTGCTTGCATTTCTCTGTGGACTGAGCGCTTTGATACTTTCACCTTATTAATATAGAATCTAGACCTACTTTATAATCAAACAACACATGGGCATCTACCTTTATACTATATGGGATCTGTAATGTTTTTGTAAATCTGTAAGTTTGATCTTGTGGTGCAACTCAAACCACACAACAGGTAGAAATATGTGTGGTTTAACGCATGTGAATACACTCAAGTTTGTTCGTGTACCACACAGTCCAGACCAGAACTGACCAGTTTGAGCCTTATTAAACAGATTTCTACACTGTCTCCGTTGGGTACTGTAACACTGGGATTTTATTATGACATTACTACAGTATGTGTTGTGTGTTGAGAAGTTACATAACTCTTCAAACAGAGCCCATGTTGAGTTGTGACGAATGTAGACAGCCTCTTATTAGAGCTGTACTGTAAGGAGCTGCCAACAGGGATAATGATCCAGATTAGAGAGAATAAAGTGAATTTATACTTTAGTGTTATTGTTGAATGGAGGGATCAGCTACAATAACCTGAGTCATCTTGGGAAGGAAACACTCAGATGTTATGATCTCTCTCTCTGGCCTGGAGCATCAGCTGATATGTGACACTCAGATTTCCTCCATCTCCTGAAGGCCTCACCTCACAGCCTGGTGTGTCTTCTGTTGCTTGCATGTTAATAAGACTGGTGTTTAAAGGCTCTCAGACCTCACCTATTATCACCTACGCATGTGTGTTTTTGTGTGTGTGTGTGTGGGAGAAACATGATAAAGAGCCAAAGTATTTGCTGGTACTGGCCAAGACCCTGGTTTTCCAATCTCCTCAGAAATCTGCTAATGTGCTTAGTGCTCAGTGTCAGGACTGAGGCAGACTAGTCCTGGTGTCTGTCTCAAACCAAGTAGTGGAAGACAAGAGTGTGGTCTCCCCCGTCTCAGGATGTATTCCAGATGTTTGTGGGAGCTCCTGTCTCGACTATAACAGCTGCTGTCATGACGTCCTAGGACAGGTTAACAGGTTATCAGTAACATGGTGCTTTTCCGTCTATGACAGTCACCATTGTTGGAAGAGGACAGGTGAAACACATTTAGTTAACAATGGTTAAGCTCCATCAAATGTCCCAGTCAGTCATGTAATGAGCCTGGCTGTTCAATATAGAGTCTTGGAATGAGCACTCCATCCACTGCAGCAGTTATAAATTATTGAAACAGCAGGTTTAATAGAGTGAAACAATGGGTCATATTGTAAAGTGCTGTAAACTACAGTAAATTGCTACTAACAGCAGTAAACTACACTAAACTACCATAAACTGCTGTAAACTACAGTTAACTACTGTAAACTGCTGTAATCTACTGATCTAAACTAACTCACATATGAAGTGAGTCACAGCTGTTGAGAAAGGCTGGATCTTTAGTTATCAGCCATGTTGCTGATGTCAGTAGGATTTTGGATAAAGTCATCTGAAGTTCTGCTTTCACTTCAGCTGTCTACACCACAGATATTTTCACTGAGCAGGATAATGGGAGCATGTTGTCTAATTCACAGCTCTTTTGGCTCCCTGGCCAAGGACGTCATAAATAGTCACCCGTACTGAGAGTTTCCAGTAATGACTTTCTGCTTAAACAGACAGTAACACTGCTTTTTGTGGCTGTGATGTTCCATAGGTGATAATATCAGGGTGACAACAGTTTTTTAGAGTAACAAGAAACACTGTACAATAATAGATGGTTGTTACAATCCACTGTTCTTCACATTCAGTGGAATCCTCTTTCCCCCCACCCCTTACACCTCTCTCTCTCTCTCTCTCTCTCTCTCTCTCTCTCTCTCTCTCTCTTTCCTCTTCATCTTTCTGTCCAAGCACAAACATATTTAATGATTCACTCTGGTTGAGACGCAGTGTTTGATTTTTTTTTATCAATGTTCATTACAAAGAATCACAAATAACATTAGACCAGTGATCACACAGTGGTTTTGATTCACAAGGTCCTGATTCGATTCAACAGGGATTTAGTCAGATTTGTTTCAGTTAAACCAGTTTTATTTGGATATGAACGAGATCCTCAGAGAACTAAATTGTTCCTCTGACCTGGTGAATTATTAAAGATATTAATGTTCACATTAAGAATAGACCCAAAGCAGTTACATTAATATCAGTGTTTCCTCTACATGATTTAGCAGTGGCGGGCCACCACTGCTAAATCATAGCCGCCACGCCTTCAAATTTCTTTTTTTTTTATTGTCGCAAATGCACCACCGCTGCATCTCTCCACCTTCACAGCACAGCCTGTGTGATGATGAGCGCAACAGTGGGGGGAGGGGAGGAGAGGGGAGGGAGGGAGTGGGGTGGTTGGGGGATCCTATTGGAGTTAATTACTCACGAGAGCGCGGCCTTGAAAGTGACGTCACGTCAGGCACCAGGTCAGAGTCAGAGAAGTGTAGTCGTGAGGAATAAGGCAGCGAATTACCGGAGAAAAGGTAGACTTATTAGCCAACTCAGTGACGCTAACTTGGGTAAACTAATTGATAGCATTAAGCTAATATCTACATGTCATTATGTATTAACTGCTGACTGCATTTTCAGATGAGCTTGTTCAGATACTTCTCTAAGCAGAGAAAGACAACAGATGAAGAAGACGCTAGTCAGGTAGCCTATCGAAAGCCTTTTACTGACTTGTAAATGATGATGGTTAGGTAAAAAATAGTGTTTTAATGTTCACACTTGTAATCAGATGTGATGTGAGTGTAAACTATATAACGCTGTTAGCGTTACGTTACTCACACTTTTAATGTAATCTTATTAGACAA